TGTCAGTGTTATTATTATCATTATCATTATTATTATCCTTTTCATTATCATTATTATCATTACTATTATTATTATAATCATTATTATTATCATCATCCTTATCATCATCATCATCATCATTATGATTATTGTTGTCTCTATTTTTATCTCTATCATTATTATCATTATCATTATAATCATTTTGATTACTATCTGTGTTATTATTATTATTGTTTTTATTATTAATATTATTATTATCATATTGAAATGATAATCCTTATATTATTATTATTATTACTAATATTATTTTTATTATTATTGCCATCATTACTATCATTATTATCATTACTATTATCATCATTATTATATTATTATTTTAATTATCGTTATCATTATTATCATTATTACTATTACTATTATGATCTTTATCATTATCATCATCATTATCATCATCATTATTATCATTATTCATATTACCATTATCATTATCATGTTTGTTATTATATTTATTATCTATATCATTATCATAATCATCATTAATGTCATTGCCATTATCATTATCATTATTACAGTGTTTGTCATCATTATCATTATCATTAGCGTTAGCGCTATTGTGATGCTGTTAACATCATTATTAATATCTCTGTGAATTTTACTATTATTGTTGTCACATCATCACCACCATCATCACCATCATCTGCATTATCATTATCATAACAGTAATAATAATTACATTAGTAATAAAATCTATAATGGTAATAGTAATAGTTATCATCCTTATGATTATTATCATTAGTTGTAAAAGTAGCAATAGTTGCTAATTAACGGTTCAAAGCAACAGATCAGAATTGACGTTCATTATGCTAATCGTTAATTACACATACGAGCCAACGGTAACCAATCTTACAGGCGCATTTTTTTTCTTTCGAAATATCCATTCATTTTTTTTTTTTTTTTATAACGATTCGGATATTAATAAGAACTCGAAATAAAGAAACTTGACGAACACTCGAAATAAAACAGACGCAGATGGTGTCTTTTATACAGCGCTATTTGTTATCATTTGTGACATTAATAGATGGCGCTGTCTAAATGTACCTATGGGACTTAATTAAATATAGATGGCGCTGATACATCATGATTTAACGTTTGATGGTGTTTTTATCGAAGATTATGGCGAATATGCACCATGAATATTGATTCTTAATGAGGTAGTATGTGTCATTGGTATTAATACACATCGAAGTAAAAAAAAAAAGGCTACTCAATAGCGTACAAGTAGCGTAGAAGTAAATATAAATCCATTGGGGACATTGCGTATGCATGATTATTACATATACCACTGGTATTGGTGCATACAGATATAAAATGTGATGTCATGATACGCTTATGGTGTCGTGGTTAGTACCCGCGTCACGTGCACCTGATGCTGTCACACTATACTCATGGAGGTTGCTTGTTACAGTATTTATGGTGCTGCCATCTGCCTGTCGGGTCGTACAGTGTTGTTGCTATGTGTAACTATAGAGGCGATTGAAAATATATTCGAAGATGATCACCATCATGATTATTATCGTTATTATTGTTATTATTATCATTATTATTTGCATTATTGTTATCATTATTATTATTATTATCATTATTATTATCATTATCATTATCATTATCATTATTATCATTATTATTACTATTACTATTATTATTATTATTATTATTATTATTGTTGTTGTTGTTGTTGTTGTTGTTATTACTATTATTATTATTATCATTATTATTATTATTATTATTATTATTATTATTATTATTATCATTATTATTATTATTAATATTATTATTATTATTATCATTATTATTATTATTATCAACATCATCATCATTATTATTATCATCATTATTATTATTACTAATATCATAATTATTATCATTAATGCAGTCTGTTGATTATGCTTTGCCTTATGATCAGCCACAGCACCCTTAAACATTTATTAATGAACTGGTGAATGTATCTTTAAGGATTTGGTAAACGTTTCTTTAATGGTTTGATAAACGTTTCTGTAATTATTTGGTAAAATGTTTCTTTAAGAATTTGAGCGTTTCTGTAATGATTTGGTAATCTTTTTCTTTAATGGTTTGATAAACGTTTCTTTAATGATTTGGTAAACGTTTCTTTAATGATTTCGTAAAAGTTTCTTTAATAATCTGGTGAACGTATCTGTATTGACATGATAAACGTTTCTGTAATGACCTGTTAATATTCTTTACTTAACCCTCAATCCCAGAAATACTACCGCTGTCCCATACGAACACAAGGACGTTTAAAACTCAAACCTAGTAGAGAAAAACAACACAAGTGGTAGACAAATGTACACGTGTTTGTTACGAATACGGATAACGAATAACCGGAAAAAAAAGTTAATTGAGGTGAGTGTATGTAATCAAAAGTAATAACGAGGAAAATAACTTCTAAAAGTGTACAATCATACCATAATTGCACAAAGTATAACATACATGATCGATGTACTATAAACACGCAGATTAACATACAAGACTGATAATTTTGTAAAAGGATGTTGTTATACCACAAATGTGTGTTCTGTAACATGTAAACTAAATAAACCGTATTATTTTCTTCAGAATCATATTATTAAAGGTAGACCGGATATATTTAAGGGAAAATGTGTGGCTTAGTAGGTGTAGTAAAGATATGCTATTATACCTTAAAAAAGTATAACAAACTTCCTTTAAAGTCATACGATTAAAAATAGTTAAAAGTCGGTTATATATAGAAGAAAATCATTAGCACAGTGGTATTATTAGCAGTAAAGGTATTATTATAGTTATAACATCTTTAAGTTATCTTATCATACAACTATAACATGGATATACCGTATCTACACTTCTATATCATATGATTAAGGTAAATGGGTTATATTTAAGGGTAGAGATTAAGGTAACGAGGAAGTGGGTTGATAAGCGTAAAGTGACGAGATTTTATTTATTCATTAAATTTTTGTTTTTATTTTTTGTCCTGCAATATTTTCATGATAAGCTTAAAATGGTGAAGATAATATTGTATCTATTCGTTTATTTATTTTTTTGTTTAATTCTGTTCTTATTTTCTTTTTCTTTATTTATAATCTAATATTAAGGTAATTCTTTCGGTTATTTTCTATTTTATTTTCCTTTTTTTCTTTATTTTTGAACGTTATGGACTGAAAACGAATGAAATACTTTCACAATAAACTTAAAATAGCGAAAGAAAATATCAAAATCATTCATTCATTTATCTCAGAATTCATCAAAACTTTTCATACATTTTCTTCCTTTATTTTTTTAAACGTTGTAGAATTAAGTATCGATCATTTTCACGAAAGGAGTAATAAAGATGTTTTTTCATGTGATACCAATATGGATAAATGCATGACAGAACTGTGACATAAGTGTAGCGAAGGCGTGACCACAGGGTATTAAAAGCGGCAGGGTATCGAGACAGGGCACCAGAGCGACAAAGCTGGGGCATTGCCAGGCGGTCTGACGTGCCAAGTCTGCTGCGGCGGCGGCGGCGGAGGTGGCACTGTGCAGCGGCAATGGTGCAACATGGGACTCACTCCGTTCCCCTTCTGACTTCAAAGGAGGGGGGATGTTTTTTTTTTTATTTTCCTGTGTCTTACCTTTCTCTCTATATATCATTCTTTTTCTTTCTCTTACCCTTCCTTTTCTTTCGTTTACTCCCCATCTTCATCTTTTTTTTTATCCTTCTTTCCTCTCTTTCTATCGTCCCTTCGTCTCTTCCCATCTTCACTTCTCTTCTTCTTTTTATCCTCTCTTTCCCTCCTACTCTCCCGTCCCTTCCTGCTACCTTCCTTTCCTCCCTCGTACCTTATCTTTGCCTCCTTCTACCCTCCCTTCCCTTCTTTTTTATCCTCCCTTCTCTCTCCTCCTCCTACCCACTCGGAACTTGTGCCAAAGATACCAAGTGGCAATACCAAAAGGTACGCAGGTTTCAAGTACGTGCATGCATACCCTCCGACGTCTCGTAGCGTACTAGTCTCCCGGTCTTGTGTCTGTACAGGTGTATTGTGTAGGTGGACAACGTGCCTACATATTATTTTAGCCTATTTTAGTCCCCCCTCCCCTCGATTTTACTCTGTACAGGTGTTTTGGGTAGGTGGATAACGTACCTACATATCATTTTAGTACCTCCATAGATTTTACTCACTGTACAGGTGTTTTATGTAGAGGGATAACGCACCCCCTCGATTTTACTCACTGTACACAGGTGTCTTTTTGTAGGTGGATAACGTGCCTACATATCATTTTCGTCCACCTCGGTTTTACTCACTGTATAGGTATTTGTGTAGGCGTATAACGAACCTAAATATTATTTTCATCCCCCCTCGATTTTACTCACTGTATACGTATCTTGTGTAGATGGATAACGCGCCTAGATATTATTTTAATCCTCCCCGCGCCCCTTCGCGTTTACTCATGCTCAGGAGGAGAAATGTTAGATCACATGGGTTTAAGTTTATGGTGGGTGTATGCGACGGAGAAACGGGCCAAGCCAAGTACCAGGGTCATTTGCGCTTGTTGTTTGGAGAATTTTCGGACTATTCTTGGGGAGTTTCTTTGTTGTTGAGGATGCCTATGTTTTTTTTTTGTTTTTTTTTTGGTGGGGTGGGGGTGGGGGGTGAGGGTGTGTGTGAGGGAGGGGGAGTTTGGGGGGTTTGGGGGGTTAGGAGGGATAGGGGAAGGGGTTCCTGCGCTTTCTTCTTCTCTTTTTATTTCATTCTTTCGCTCTCTTTTTTTCCTTCTTCTCGTCTCTGTTTTTTTCGTTTTCTCTCTCTCTTTTTTTCCCTCTCTCTCTCTTTCTCTCTCTCTCTCTCTCTCTCTCTCTCTCTCTCTCTCTCTCTCTCTCTCTCTCTCTCTCTCTCTCCCTCTCGTTCTTTCTCTCTCCCTCTTCCTTCTTTATCACTTTCTCTCATATCCTCACGCCAAAAGGAAAATAAAACAACGAACCATTTACGAATATTGCGAATTTTAATAATCTGCTTTTCTTTGACGTAGCAGTTTATAAAAATATTTTTTTAGCACATTAGCAGTGTTGAGAGTATGCTTGAGAGAAGAAAATGTGTCTTTTTTTCAAATATACATGATTATCCAGAATAATATAAAAAAAAGGAAATCTGCCAATATAATAAGTTCATATTGTATTTTGCACGCTTTGAGCAGCATCGAATATGATATACGTAATATATATATATGATGTATATAATACAAGATGTATACAGTACGTCTGATTATGGTATGCCCGCTTATAATCGCAGGCAGAAGACTCTAAGGAAAATAGTCTTCGGGGTCTTGTTGGCTATCTTCGTCACCCAAGACCAGCGCCCTCTGCCCCTTCCCCCCTCCCCCCTCCCCCTGCTCTCCCTCCCTGCCCTCCCCCTGGCACGTGGAATGTTGCCTGCGTGCACGCTCGCACGCACACTCGCTCTACCCGCTCGCCAGTCGCCAAGGCCAGAGGGCGCGGCGACAAAGGAAGCGGCGGGAGGCGGTGGAAACAGCGAGGTGACGCGGGCACAGAAGGCGGGGACCAGGCCTACTGGCGCGCAGGCAAAGGTCCGCACGTTCTCGGTGGCCTGGGGGTGTGGAGGGGGGTGTGTGTGGGGGGAGAGCTTTAAGGGGGGGAGGGGGTTAATGGCGGGGGGGTGTGGGGTTGAAAACAAAAAATAAAGGGGATTTATAAATGAAAATGAAAAGAAAAATGGGGGGGATGAGGATATTATGAGGAAATTTAAAATAAAGGAAAATAAAAATGTTTTTTTAAAAAAAGGGCGCGTGGTCTCTATATCGGGGCGTCGTTTGATGAAAAGTTGAAAGGGAAAAGGAAAGGATTTAAAAAGAAAAAAATTTCGAAGGGAAGAGACTTTTCCTTTTTTGAAGGAAAATCTCTTTCGTCGTTGGGACAAAAAAATGAAAATAAAAAAGCGTTCGTTTTGTTTTCGCTTCAAGTCGTCGAAAATATAAAAGCTTGTGTGTGATCGAGTGTGGCGGTAGTGTGGTGGGCAGCGTGAGTATAGTCAGAAAAATGGTGAAAATTACATCTTTCTTTTCCAATAGATATCTCGATAGATGGGACAACTTTTTTTTTTATCCCATCTTCCATCGATGACGCTTCATAGTTCTCACATTTCAAAAAAAAAAAAGAAAAAAATGGCTTGGCTTCTACCATCATCAATCACCATCATCATCAGCATCATCATTAATCACCATCATCATCACCATCATCATCAGAGTTTGCCAGAGTGAGAGTTGTGAGTTGAGTGACCATGTCTTCCTCCAGCTCTGCCCCACCCCACCGCGGCCGTCCGTTCTGAGGGAGAGAGAGAAAGGGGATTATTTAAAAAAAAAGTATAAAGAGATAGAGAGAGATATAGTGAAAAGGAATTGTTAAAAAAAAGTAAAAAAAAAATAAAAGAACGAGAGAGAGAGTGAGGAGAGAGAGAGAGAGAGAGAGAGAGAGAGAGAGAGAGAGAGAGAGAGAGAGAGAGAGAGAGAGAGAGAGAGAGAGAGAGAGAGAGAGAAAATTAATAATTTAAACAAAAGTATAAAAAGATACAAGCAATTAGTGACAATAAAATTTTAAGTGTAAAAAAATAATGATTAAAAAGAGAATCATTTAGATTTTTTGACACGAAAAATAAGAAACAAAAACGAGACAAGAAGTGAGAGTGATAAAAAGGGGAAGGGAGGAGAGGGAGAGCATAAGAGTGAGAAAAGGGAAGAGGAAGGGTGTTTGGAGAAGGTAACTACTCGATAAATGAAAGGAAATAACGTGGAATAAATCGTAGGTAATTCTACTGTATTTATAGTTGATGGTGTGATAAGAGTGATAGCTGTAGTTCTGAAAGTAGTCGTTGTAGTAGCAGTAGCAGTAACAAGAACAACATAGAGACAAAACAATAATCATAGAAATATAGAATAATAATGATGATATCCTTTCTCTCTCTCTCTCTTTTGATAATTCCTTCTCTCTCTCTCTCTCCAAACACACACACACACACACACACACACACACACACACACACACACACACACACACACACACACACACACACACACACACACACACACACACACACATTTTTTTCTTTCTTTCTTTTCTTTTTAATTCACTTATTCTTGATATCCCTTATTTAAGCATATTGATTGCGAACAAGAGGAAGGCCATTTTTGGAAGCAGGTTTTTCACTTACCTACGTAATTCCAGTGAAAAGTCGGTCGTGAAGAACTGTCTTCACATTGTCGTTGTAGGTGATGTAGAAAATCCGATATGTAGAGAAAAAAATATATATAAAACTCTCTCTCCCGGGCACTCTGGGCACGTGAGAGGGAGCAAGGACGGCTTCTGTTAACATTAACTTGGTAACATTTTTTCCTATCTCGTTTCGAATGTGCAGGCGTATGGCAACAGTGTGGGCCGGGACGAACATTCTTCGCCACCAGCCAAGGAGGTCGCTGTCACGGGTTTCTTGAAGGTTTTCTCGTCTTCGTTATTTTTTGGGTTTCCTTTTAATTCGTGTGTCCATCTTTTCCTTATTCCTTTTTGGGTTATTTTCTTATTCCATCTTTCACTTTTGCTTTTTTGCTTTCTCTTTCCGGGGAGTTGTTTCCTCTTGTGTGTCCTCCCAGACGACTGAGAGTTTAGGTTCTTCTGGGTGTCGTCTCCCCCCTTTTCTTCTTTCTCCTCGTCCTCTTCTTCTTTTCCTCCGCTTCTGTCCTCTAAGGTAGATGGAGAAGAAGGGAAAAAAAAAGAAAATGGGGATGGGAAGATCAAAGGGAAAAGAGGCAGGATAAAGGAACAGGTGGAAGGAAGGAGCAAGCGCGCAACAAATATCTGACTCCGACGCGACGGCTAATGACAGCCCTCGCGCCCTACCTTGAGATCCGCGGTCGGGGAGAAGCCGCGGTCGGGACGGCAGACACGCGGAGATTTCGGGAGGTCGACGAGACTCTTGCCTACCTCTGGACTGATGCTTTAAGGATTCCGTGCTCTGGGCGCATTTGGTCGTCTGATTTCGCAAATCGAGAAGTGACTTTTCCTTTGTTTTTTTCCTTTCGTGTCTGGGAGACCATGGAGTCATATCAACTGGACGCGAAAACGACTGTCGACGAAGACAAAGGACGCTTAGGGACTTCAGAAGGGGCGTGTAAAGTTCCCCTAGACAGCCTGCTGTCAGGGACTCTCGTAGGAGCGCTGAGGTTAGGGGAAGGAGGTGTACTGGCAGGGGGGTGATACCGGCGCCCCTGACCTGCCTATCGAGTGAAAACGTGGGCTGTGCCTGCACGCACGCACGCCCGGGATGAACTGCAAGGACACTTGCTTTTACACGCAGGCGGGGATACATGGGACACATGGAGCGCGGGAAGGGGGAGGGGGATGGGTAGTATACAAACACCTTCACAAACACGAAGGGAAAGATACATATAACACGACGACGACAGACAAACGGACGTGGGGTCAGTGGCGGTTCGGTGAGTCGTCTGGCTCGCGGCGGTGCACACGTGTCCCTCGGCGAGGAGGTCGTGTGAGGCCGCGCGGTCGCCTACGGGGTGAGAGGGAACTGGAGACTCGAGCCTGCTCTGACGGGGAGTGGGGGGACACGGGGCAGCTGCAGCCACTCGGCCAGCGCACCTAGTGGGTGTTGGGGGGGCAGGGGCCCACCAGCTGCGGGAGCGCTGCGGTCTGGGGAAACGGGCGCGTCCAGTGACTGGCCTATCTTGCTTCATGAATTCTTCCTTTGCGCATTCCTACTTCGTGAATTCCTACTTCGCGCACTCCTGCTTCATGGATTCTTACTTAGCGTATTCCTATTTCGTGAATTCTTACTTCGCGAATTCCTACTTCATGCAAATTAGCTCCGCGCACTCCTGCTTCGTGAATTCCTTCTTCGCGTTTACCTACTTCGTGAATTCCTACTTCATGTCATTTAACTACGCGTACTCCTGCTTCATGAATTCCTACTTCGCGCTTTCCTATGTCGTGAAAATTCTGACTTCGCGCATTTCCTACTTCACGAATTCTGGTTTGTCCACCTTGGCGGCATCTCTTGTGTCCTGCCTACAGTGTGCTCAAGGTCTGCGTCTCAGGGTTAGGAAACCCAGGAAATTTTTCGTGTGTTGAGGGCATCCGAAGACGCCCCTCGTCTCTACAGGAACCCTAGGAATCCTGACGTGTGTAGGCGGGGCAGAGGGCGGAGGGGAGAGGCGTTCCCCTCCCCCCTCCAGCCCTGCCCTCGCCATCGTTTCGAACAGGGAGAGAGGAATGTTTCTGGAGTTTTGTACCTAAATCGTTCATCCACATCTCATAAAAAAAAATCGTCGCGATCATTTTTTCTCCTTTACGAAAATAAAAGCTAATAAAAATATATATGTATGGATCAAGTATTACAAACACCTTTCAGAGTTTCAAAGAGAGAAAAAAAAGAGATAGACAGGGGAAAAAAAAGGAGGGAAATAGAGGAAGTATTCTACACTTCCGTTATGCAATCTAAGAAAACTTCAAGGAACTCTTCTAAATGAGCACGTCCTGGAGTTTTTCCCTTTTCTCGCGGAAACGCAAAAAAGAACACGCACACTACATGTTATATATATATTCATTAAAAAAACACCCGGCACTCAATATATAACACGGGGATCTGAGAAGGACAAGGAAATACAGTGAGGTGAACGCATGTCATGTTGGATACGGCGGGGCAAATCCTGCCTAGTTTTGGGGATCGTGAAAACGCTTTTTTCATTTCACTGGAAGAAGAAGAAGTAAAAAAAAAAAAAAAAAATCTCTTATACCAAGAAGAAAAGAAACACGAGGTCCTGTATGTGAGATAATAACAAACATGCAACGAAAATAGAGTAGACCATCAGCAAAAAATTACAATGCAAGCTCAACTTAGTGTTGTGGGGCCGACGGCCGGGCAGCCACGGCGAAAGCAATCTTATCTTTAGCAGATTCTTATCAAAAGGAGAAAGAGAGAAAAAAAAAATATTGAAAGTAGCGGTCCTAGGCCATAACAGCTCTTTCTCTATCTTGACGAGAGGTCCGACAGACCAAGTTGAAAGACCGCCGAATAAAGAGCCCCCCTTAAAAAAAGAGGGTTTTAAATATTAAGACCCGCGCATACGCTCGTAAATATATATCTTCTATTATTTTTTTCCTTAAAAATAGCTAGGCCTATCTAAAAAAAAAAAAAAGATAACAGCTGGCTATCGGGTTTTCCTACCAGCCTCCCAGCGCGGGTCACATACTGCTGTACGTACACGGAGGGAAAAACTGGTTGGTGTGCATGTCGGTCACGTAGGCCTGGTCCTCTCGCCCGCAGCCGTTGTTATTATTATTGTTGTTGTTGGCGTTGCCGTTATTGTTATTCTGGGGGGCGGGCTGGCCGTAGGCGTCGCCACAGGCCAGGTTTCCGGGCTGCGGGTGGGCGTGGGTGGCCAGCGGGGACGGGACGGGCGGGTGGCGGCCGCCGTAGGGACTGTAGCGCACGAGCCCCGAGCCGCCGCGGGACTTCGGGCTCGTGTACAGGGGCTTGAGGGGCGGGAGGGCGTTGGGGGGCGTGAACTCGTGCGGGCGCGTGACTTGGCCCAGGCACTGATAGCCATAGCCTGCCGCCTTGCCTGTGCACGAGGAAGGGGACGGCGACGGCGACGGGGTCGGGGACGGCGGGCAGGGGAAATGCTTGCCTTCGGACGTCGGCGCTGACGAAGCGTGAGGCAAGGAAGGGCGCGCGTGTGGAAACTGGTACGGGTGGTGGCGCTGCGCCTGGCCAGCCGACGCGCTGTATTTGGGCGCTAGGAACTGCGCGGAAGACGAGGAGGAGGAGGAGGAAGGGGGGGACGTGGGTGTGGAGGGGGACGAGGAGGAGGGGCACCCAGGCATCCCGGGGGGCGAGGAGCAGGGAACGGAGGGCGTCTTGTAGAGGGAGGAGGGCGGACTGCACAGGGGCGGGGACGTGGGACTCTCCGACGAACACGAAGAGGAGGAGGAGGTAGAAGAGGAAGACGAGGAGGAGGTCGAGGAGCAGGGGGAGACGAGGCCCGCGTCGGGGGACTCCGCTGGCGTGACGATGACGAGAGGAGGCTTCGGAGGCTGCTGGTGCGCGCGCGCGGACGAGGCGGCGGCGCCCTTGGGACACCGGGGCGGGTGCCGGCACGACGCCCGGTGGTTGGGGTCCCGAAGGATCTTCTCCAGCTTCATCTTCTCGGACGTGAGGCGCTGGATCTCCGTCTTGAGGCGCACGTTCATATCTTCCACCGACTCCGATTCCTGGGGGGGAGCGGGGGATTAGTCGATGCCGGAAGGGCGTGTGTGTATTTGTGTGTGTGTGTGTGCAGGAAGAACAACGAAGGGAAGTTCAGGAAAACACACGAGTATGCCGAAGGCCTTTTCGCATTTACTGCTTCATCAGGGCAGTAAATGCGAAAAGGCCTTCGGCATACTCGTGTGTTTTCCTGAACTTCCCTTCGTTGTTCTTCCTGCAATTTGTTTGACATGAATTCCACACGTGTGTATGTGTGTGTGCGTGTGCGCGCGTATGTGTATGAGCGTACACAAATAAACATGAAATCAAAGAAAAGCAAAATGCGAAAACAAACAAACACAAAAGCGGAACACTAACTGTCATGAGCACGATGGTCTTCTCCTTCTTCTTGTTACGACACTTGGTGGCGGCGATCTTGTTTCTCTCCCGCCGCCGCCGCCGTCGCTCCTCGTCTTCCTCCGTCAGCTGGAAAGGGCGGGCGAGGGTCAGGGGGAGCGAATAATGGGGGCGAATGGGGAGGGGAGAAAGCTGTGAGGAAGATGGGTAGAAGGAATGCGTGGTGGAGGAAATAACTGTAGGAGGTTTGTAGTCATGGGGTTTAAAGGTCGATGGAAGATATAGAAAATGTTTTTTTTTTTTTTTTTTTTTTTTTTTTTTTTTTTTTTTAGGTGCCGTTAAGAAAGACGTCGCAGGATCCGTCCTTCAAAAGTGACATCTTCAGAAAAGGACACTGGAAACGAAGAAGAAATTTCCCAAAATGAACCCCCTTGAGAATTTACTCTCCCCCCAAAATAAACCTCAGATATGAACCCTCCCAAAAAATGAACTAAAAAAATGAATAACAACCCCCCAAAAAAAATTAAACCTACCTAAACAAACCTAAAACAACGCCCTCACACCCCAAAAAACAACAACAACAAAAACGTGCACCTAAAAATAAAAAAAAATCACCTAAAAAAAAAAAAAAAAAAAAAAAAAACTAATCACTTACGTCATCCGTCTCGCTCTTGATACTCTTGCTGTCCTCGAGGAAGTTCTCGGGGCTGTCGACGCCCGCCGCCTGGAGCTTAGTGCGGATCTGCAGCTTGAGGCCCTCCTTGATGAGCGCGGACTTGGTGGCTTCCACTGTGCTGACGGGGGAGGGGAGGTCCGGGGTGGAGGGCGGGGAGGACCCAGCCAGGGGACCTCCCATACCTG